TGGTAAGCCGTTTATGTAACTTTTGCAGACAAGTTGAATAGAGAGAGCTTTGGTCCCATTTTTGATAATCATCAATCTTTGTCTATCCTTTCATCACTGTTAACATCCAAGTCTTGCGAGAGCTTTAGACAAGACATGAAATGATCATATCGCCTCTCGACAAAATTGCTATTAGAGATTTATTCTATCCATCTCTAAAGGGTCAATTTCAAATTTATCTGATTGAATTGGCACAATGATCAAACTGCACTTATCACAGACTACTAATCAGTTCAAATATATATCGACCATTTAATCCAAAATTACTAATAAAATCATATCAGTGAATAATACGATTAACTTATAGCCATTGTTTTAACAAGCAAACCGAAATGAAAAATAATTAGTTCAAACGAGAAATCCTGAAACAAATATACAAACGAAAAATAAGAGCTTCGAGGACTGATCACTTCGGTTAACACCACTTTTTCTTGCAGGTTTGAGATTTTCGAGCTCTACTTCAATTAGCAAGACTTAGCTGATTATGAAAAGGACGAAACCCGGTCCGGGGTGCTTTCCTCAAACGTTTCCTCTTTGGAAAATTTATTTCCTACAAGATGTATATGAAACATGAGTATTTGGAAACGTGAAAACATAAAACTGTGGAAACCAGCAACTCAAGGGACTATTTTCTAAATCTTGTTTCCATGACAGAATCTAGAAGCATTCCACAAAAACACAGACAACAACTTCTTAACACAATTTGTTTAATGTTTTAGGGCCTTTTAGCAACAACTAAAGTCAGTAAACCAATTTCATGCTTTCTATTTATAAGATATCGAATGTCTACATTCTTCTCTCATGACAATCTAGAATAATAACTTGCCTCTATAAGATACTCTCGCTCGCGCTCGGCTAATCGCATACGAGAATACATCCAAGCCTCCTGGAAAAGGTTGTTTCTCAAATGGTTAGACAAAGAAGTTGTTGCTCAAATGGTTGTTGCTCAAATGATACAAGCAA